TTGACTCTGAAAAATGTAAAATACAGTTTGTCAACTGGGCTATATTAGTGCTTTAGAATTAGCTTTCGCTAATATTTTTCAGTGTGTTCGTGCTTTAGAATTAGGGGACCTTAATATTTGAGTTAGTGCTTTAGGGTTAGTGCAACTAATATTTAGATTAGTGCTGCCCACCACTGCCTAAAGTTGGCCAATGTAGTTGTGTTGGTCACTCTAGAAAGGACAGCACTTCCAAGCTGATCCCAGTCCATCCTCTCCTCGCTAACATTTCGGAGGTAATTTCTGATAAACCAAGCCCTGTGGGGGTTGAGCGCTGTCATCTTGGAGGATAAAGTTTGGTCCCAGACTGGGGAGACATAGGATTGATGCTGGTTGCTCACAGGTGTTGAACACTGGGGATACCAGAAGTTCGAAACAAAACCCGCCCAATGGAACAAATATGTCTAACAAATATGGCAGCATTTAATAGAAAATAAATAGATTTTTTAAAATCTGTACAGGATTTAATGCAGAGAATCATTGTTACAACAACAAATAAGTATTCAACGTCTTGGTGCTAAGTTTAATATCTGTTTCAGCAATTCTGTGCAATTAATTTGTGACAACAATGTTGACATTTGATATATATTGTGAAGCAATACCTAAATCATTGTTTCCACTTGCACGAGGTTCTTCTAAGAAAAGCTTTGTTTAAATCAACCGTTCGAGACGACGGGTGACATTTTGACAGTAATGCTGTACCAGCTCATACTCTCAGCAGAGGACTTGAAGCAACTTGTTGACTCTTAAAAGTGGAATCTGTGGTATGACAATTAAAATTGTCAGAAAAGAAATCCTTCACTGAAGTGGTGAAGTCATTTTTTCCCCCCCTTCTGTCTTTAATTATCCTCAGCCGTAATTAGGACTGATGCCTTTCTGAGCCTGAGGATTAACGGACCTCAGAGATTTAACTTTTCTGTCCTTGATTCTGACTTCTTGCTCTTGTTTTTTTTTTTCTTTTCTTCATTCTGAGCTACTGGTATTTCCATATTGGTCTGTGTGATGTGTATAAATGAGGTTTTGTTTGTGTATGAGGATATCCTGTTTATCCTCTTTGACGATAGGAACGCAGTAATGAAGAAGATGGAGCGTTAAGATTTTGGTGGGAAACGCAGAAATGTTTAGGGCCAGGCAGGGAGAGGATTTCTTGCACATCATCAGTTAAGCAGCACTCTCCAGACACCAGAAGACTTTGATTTTTCTGTTTTATTTTTGCCTCCCTCTCCAATTAGGGATAATTGCAGTGAGAGTGGAAGAAGAGAGAGTGTTTTGAAGTTGGAACCACCGCGCAGCCTTTACTTACCTCTGACCCCTGCTTGTCTTGCTGTTGAATAATTACGCACCTCCCCCCTCCTGGTAATTGTTGTTCTCCAGCCCCTCTCCGTGTTTTGATGGGGCTAAAGAAGGAGGCAAAGAAAACCCGAGCCGGATAATAACAGTGCGGCGGTCGTGGGCTGCGGTTGCTTTGGTGATTTCCTTCTTTCATTTAGCCCATGGGGTAGCTGTCAGTCAAGGCCGGGCCTCCTCTGGATGTGGAGTGATGCTATTTTGTGTGTGAGAGACACCGAAGCTTTAGAAAAGACAAGACGGCTGCTGAGACAGTTGTAAATACTCAGACTGTGGGTGTCTCATCTCATTCAGATCCGGAGATGAAAGCTCGCCCTCGGTACACAAATCCACACACCGAGTCCTGATGGTTTTAGCAGAAAACGGGGAAGGAAGCAGAACCGCGGAGGGTTCAGTGGGTTTGTCCGGCTCCTCCATAAGCCTCAGCGTCTGCACCCAGAGACCACACTGCTAACAGCCAGCGGGGGTTCTGCTTCTGATCCTTATTTAACCCAAACCCACACCGGCACATTTATCAATGAACTTTTGTCCTGTCTGCTATAAAAACCCGTCGTTTGGCCAGACCAAGCTGGGGAACGAAAACAATATTTTTGTGTGTTCTTTCAGGGAGTGAAATGAACATCACACAGATCCATCACTGCAAAGTGAACCACTGAAGGACAGGCATCATGACTGTTTGGAGGAATTTATTATTTTTAGTGGATCAGGGATGTCTTGGCTTATGAAATCTTCTGATCAGAACACAGTGAGACATTTGAAAATATTGGATAAAAGGCCAATATTATGTGTTTCTCAGGCATACATTTAAATACTATACCATAATAAAGTATCTATGTCACCTTTAGCTGTTATTAAAATGCTGTTTTTATGTTTAAATAGAAAATAAACTTATCTTCTCATCACTTCCTCTTCTAAACACCTTGAAATTGGACTGTGTCTCTTTAAAAAACCACCTTCCACTTCTGTCTTGCCCTTTCAGTGCGGGTGGCTGTGATGCAGTTTACTTGGCATCTGAAAATACATTTCCTCAAATGTATTTTTAATCTGAAAAGGGCTTCACTGAGTGAGAACTAATGTTGAGAGCTCAGCAGACAGTTTAAGTTTCACTTTCACTTTCACCCGAGAGCCTGCAGGAGTCATGGGCGGGGTGTGTG